GTTGGCCTCGCGGGGACAGGACGGGTATCATGAAACCCGTACCCGCCCCGCCCCATTGCCATCCCTAGTGTTGACTATTTACCATGCATGATTTATCAAGAAATTCTTACATACCTAGATCAACATCTGTTTAGTAGTGTCCCTAAAACTTCCTCTAAAAAGTAACAAAAATTCTAAAATGAAGCAGTATAAAATGTGGTACATGGATGAAACACTATTTTTAACCGTTAGATTTAATAATATAATATAATCTAGGGTTCAGATTTCTTAACTGTAACTTGGAAAAGAAAATTTTTGTATTTTGCAGATTAGTCCCTATTTTGGGTTACTATTTTGGACGGCGGGTGGTGAGGATGAGGAAGACGACGTCGGCGAGTGTGAAGGCAAGGCCGTCAAGGGCGATCCAGGGGCGGGGAGGGCCAGATTTGGAGGTGGTGAGATTTTGGTCGTAGTGGATGTAGTTGATGGTGGAGAAGGCGAAGGAGAGGCCCTAGGAGAGTTGAACTTTGCGGACAACAGGGAGGGGGAGGGACATGAGGTCGATGGCATCGAGGAGGAGGAGCCCGCGCCTCCGCTGCCACCGCGTGAAGAAATAGGTCACGCCTCCGCTACCACTGTGTAAACGAAGTCGCGTTTTCGCTGCCACCTTTTGAAGGAGCCCACGCCTCCGCGCTGCCACAGCGCGAAGGAGATCGCGCCTCAGCTTCCACCGCGCGAACGAAGTCGCGCTTCCACTGCCACCGTGCGAAGGAGCCTGTGCTTCCATGTTGCCACCGTGCGAAGGAGGTCACGCCTCCGCTGCCACCGCACGAACGAAGTCGCGCTTGCTCTATCATCGCTTGAAAGAGTCCGTGCCTCCGTGCTGCCACTACACGAAGGAGGCCGCGCCTCCGCTACTACCGCATGAAGGAGGTCACGCCTCCACTGCCACCACCGTGGAAGGAGATGACACCTCCGCTGCCACCGTGCCTCCGCAGCCGCCGCACCTCTACAGTGTCTCTGCATATAATATAAGGACTATTTTACAATTTTAAACAAGTTAAAAAACTTGTTATTGCCGATAATTTTAGTGCCTCATGGATGACCCATGACCTCAAATACCTCATGTTAAAAGGCCTCATTTGACATTACCTAGATTTTGAACATGATAATACTAATTAAATTAGAATAATTTTCATTAAATTAGGGTAGATCTATTAAGAATGTTGAGGGGCCTTAACCCTCCCTAAATTTTTCATCTTTTCAAACTTTTTTAATGTATACTATTATACTTTTTAGTTATTTTAGTGTTAAGATAATTAAAATAATTGCTTAGTTTTAGCTGTTTAATTGTGTAGATAATGATATCTTTTAAATTAATACTTTAGTTTTATTTTCATAGTCTTTGTTGTGGGAAAATTTCATATTTTCTTTTATTTAGATAAAATATTTAAGTACCATTTATTTAATTTTAAGAGTATTTTATTTTTATAATTTTTTTTGTTAATAATTTAAAATTTATAAATAGTTAACCTTTAACCACATGACTTTATTATTTTTATATTAATTTTATTATAATTATTTTTAAATTAAAGACTATTTGTTATCAATATTTGCAAATGAAAAAAACTATGATTATTCTATAAATAGTTGACAATTTAATTTTTAGACACACTAAATTTTTTTTCTACTACTATCTTTATATAAATTTTCTTTATCTATTTTTTTTTCTCATTTTGTTCTTGCATATTATATAAATAACTCTCACTAGTTTTCTCTAAAGTATTTTATCTTCAAGTGCACAAATTCGCATACATTATTGTGTAAACCTTGGAAAAAAAAATAATATCAAGTTGTACCATGTGTGTTAACATTTACTTTCACAAGATTGATTATTGTCAATACACATTATTTTTCTCTTACTTTCTAACATTTTAAAAATAAATTCTCATTGTTTGCTTCTATTGAAGTAAAGATAACATGATGATGGGTAACATAATTCATTTTTGTTTAATAATTTTTATAAAATATTTCATAGGACTTTTGGTAAAATTTATGATTAATGAATATATAATTTTTATTATATATTTGTGATGATTATTAGTGTGATATATGAAATTGATAATTAACATTTATTTTAAGTTTAGCTTTTATGTAATTATATACTTTTATTATATATCATTAAATCATTTTAAAACATAAAATTATAAATATTTTATATAAAATTTAATATTTATATATATATAATATATATTTATTCAATAAATTTGAAGTTTATGTACTCGATAGAAAATGATAATATAATAAGTGTTATGATGGGGAAAAAAATAGAGAAGTAAGTAAAAATAATACGAAAGAAAATGGGTTTACGATTATAAGACGGCACAAAAGGAATATATTATAAAAGATAGATAGTTCAGTTGCATATGTAAGCAATAGGAACTAAGGACAAAACAAGGTGAACCCGATGTTTTAAATTCGACTCCGGCATAAGACCAAGTAAATTGATGTTTTAACTTAATATATCAGTATTAATATAGATTTAAATATATTTTTAATTTTTTAAATTTAAGATAAATTTATTTTAATTTCTTAAATTTAAAATTAATTTTTTAATCCATGTAATTTTAAAAACTCTTATTTTAGTCTTTAAATATAAATTTTATTAGAGAATTTATCAAATATTATTTCATAAAAATTACTTACTAGTATCTTTATTAATAAAAATATCACATTAAATTTAATTGATAATGTGAAATTGTCTCAATATGTCACTTTCAAATATATTATTGGTGACTTGAGGATTAAAACAATTTTTTTAAAATTATAAAGATTAAAAATAACATTTTTAAATTTGAGGGACTAAAATAAATTTACCCTAAATTTAAGGGACTAGAAAAATATTTAACCCATTAACATATGTATAGTTAAACTATGAAATAAAAAAAATATAAAACTTAAATTAAATTATATTTTATAATATATTTAAAAATAAATAATGTCCTTATAAGTATAATGTTATGTTATACAAAGTATTATCTGTTATTTTTATTATTATTAATATACAATATACATTTTAAAATAATGAAAGATGAGTTGAAACGATCCAAAAGTATACTCTGAATCCATCCTAAAAATTATATTGAACCTAATTTTAAGACTCAAACCATTCAAATTACATGTGACTAGAATGAAGTTTGCTCATCCATAGTAACCAAGTTAATTTATCGACTTATATTAAATTGCATTATTGAAAATGACAATATTCTCTCTAAATCTATATATGGGAAAAAATAAATTTTTTTTAACTGAAATATAAGTTAACTTAAATTAAATCAACTTTATTTAATGTTCTTAATTAAAAATACTTCTACGATAATAAAAGAAAATACCATCTATTATAAATGTGATTAAGAATATATGATTAAGAATATATGGAATAACAAAAGAGAATACTATCTATTATAAATGTAGTTAAGGATATATGCTGGGAGTTTGGGAGTATGATTTAATTAATTCATTATGAGGTGTGACGTGAAAACTTATATATGGACAATGCCTTGGAAACAAACTAAACCATTTATTAATAATGCGATTTCAAACTTTAATTGATAGGATCGATGCTCCCTAGTTAGGAGTTTGTTGTAACTTGTGTTTGATGAAACTGAACGACAATAGCACACCGAAAAAGGTAGCGTTGACAATGGCTTCTATGCATCTTGGGTCTTTCCCTGTATCCTTTTCCGTTACTGCTGGTAAGCCATGAAAATTGGTCCATTTTTTGTGTATTATTTCTGAAATTTTAAGATTTGTTCATTTTTCTGAAAGAAATATGCTATTGGCAGTTGGAAGTTGCGGGAGGAGTAAAAAATGCGCCAAACATTACAATGCAAGTAAGTTTATTATATCCACCCATTTGGACAAAAATTATTGTAATGATTCATTGTGCTGCTATTGTTCAATCCTACCTTTTATCAATCCTTCGGTGTTAAAAGAATCTTAAGAAGGGCTTTTGCTCTATTAGTCTTTGTGTAATAGTTGACATCGAAGAAAGGAATCTGTTTTACACTTTCACAAATATAAGTGATTGTAGAGTATATCATATATCATGAAGAGAAAAATCATCTAACACTATTTGATAGATTGACACAAATTATATTTTTTTATAAATATAATTTACATAGTATGTTAAAATTGATAACAAAAGATTAATATATGTTTGCAAGACATGATTTTTGTTAGTCAAACATTATTTTAACACAAATAGAAATTAAACTTGAGATTATATGATCAACTCTATGTCTCAAGTAGACCTTATAATCACTGGATAAAGAGACTTGGTTATAACACATATTATCTTTAGTGTTTATTTTATTTTATTTATTTATTTTATTTGTAAGAAAGTAATAAGAAAAAGAAAAGAAAAATGCAACTATGCCCTGTGAAAAAAAACTCTTATGGCATCATAAAAGGACAATTATACTAAATAACTAAATCATCGATTATAAATGAGTTATGACAAGTTAAAGAGTCTGCACACATTAGCCTTTTGATATACATGGTGGAATGAGAGTTGCCATTGTGTGATTCTAAGGATCTAATGAGATTATCTTTAGTGTCTTAAGTGCCTCACTGTAGATTATGTTACTCTAAACTAAGGTTATACTAGAAATTAAAATAGGAAATTCTTCATATCTCATTAATGGAGCAAAAATAACATATGAGAATATTCAAAAGGTACACCTATAGATTGGTTCATATCACTTTTATTTGAAGCACTTAAGCCATGTAAATATTTTATTTTATTTTATTTTTTGGTAAAACATCATTTAGGTCTTTGAAAGTGTAAGTTGTTAGCACTTTAGCCTTTGAAAGTAAGAAAAATCTAAATAAGTCCTTAAAATTTCTAATTGTTTGAAGTCCTTAAATGTAACTATTTATTATCATTCTAGTCCTTAAATATATGTCAATATTGTCATTTAAGTCACATGTTTTTTTTTCTCTGAATTTTTGACTAAAGTGAGTAATGTTTTACACTTTTTGGTACTTTTTTTTTATTATAATTTTTATGCTTTCAAGGATCAAAGTGTCAGCAAAAGACTCTTTTAGGGATTGGAATGGTGTTTTCCCCAATTTTTTAAAAATTATTTTGGGCCTGTTACTCAATTTCTCTATTGTTGGGTTGTTTATTGTGGAATTAGGCTAATCAATACCCGCCTTTTCACTTTTGACTTTGCTATCAAATTTGTTGAAATGCTCTAGAAGGTGGTTGAGACTTGAAGTTGAGGCATTTATTGGAGATGGTTAGGGGTGTGTTTGTAATAGAGGATTAAGATTTGGTTTTAAGAAATGAGGTGGGAATTAAGGGTTGATCTTAGGGTTATAATGTGTTGGATAGGAGCTTAGAGGTTTGGTGGAGGATAGTTAGTGATGCGTTCTTTAAGATTGATTGAGGGGAGACATTAAAATTAGCTTTAGTTGGTAGTAAGGAGTTAAGTAAGTTATTAGGAATGTGGGGTGGGG